TCCAGGAGCTGAATCCTGGAAGCGCACCCTGGGAGGGGGCATCTGAAGCCCAGCGCACCTTTACCCATGAGCCGTGTGGGCCACAGGGGTCATTAAAGGATGGAGACAGGTGGTCAACAAGGCACACAGTTAAACAGCACGTGAGAATATCCTTAGTTCAACATGAAACCACAGACTGGCAACACTGCACTATTTGCTCAGGGATTTGGTGGAAGCCTATGGCCACAGGGAGGTTGCCTTGGGTGGCTTGGGCCATGGTAAATACCTTGTCTTGTAATTCCAGCACTTTGGGAGGCCAAGGCAGGAAGATCAATTGAGTCCAGGAGTTCGAGAGCAGCCTGGGCAACATAGCAAGATCCTATCTCTAAAGTATTTTTTGTTGTTGTTGCAGATGAAGTTTCACTCTTGTTGCCCAGGCTGGCGTGCAGTGGCATGATCTCAGCTCACTGCAACTTCTGCCTCCTAGGTTCAAGCGATTCTCCTGCCTTAGCCTCCCAAGTAGCTGGGATTACAGGCATGCACCACCACACCCAGCTAATTTTGTGGTTTTGGTAGAGATGTGGTTTCTCCATGCTGGTCAGGATGGTCTCGAACTCCCAACCTCAGGCGATCCTCCCATCTTGGCCTCCCGAAGTGCTGGGATTACAGGTGTGAGCCACCATGTCCAGCCAGCCCTATCTCTAAAGAAAAAAAAGGGTCTTTTAGTAGGTGGTTATGGTGCCAACATGGGAATTCCAGGCAGAAGAAACAGCTAAAGCAACAGCAGGAGAGCAAACAAACACAATTGAAACAGATCAGTGGCTGGGAGTGAGGGGAAGAGGATGAAATCCCAGGAGAGAGCAGAGGACACTGAGTGTCCTGGCCAGGGATTAGGGTTTTGTCCTGTGGGCCTGGGGGAGCCAATGACAGGACTCCCAAAATTTTGATTTGTGGCTGGGTGCAATGGCTCACACCTCTATTCCCAGCGCTTTGTGAGGGTGAGGCAGGAGGATCACATGCAAAATCGCAAGACCCCATTTCTTAAAAACAAACAAACAGAAACACCCTACAACAGGAAGAGGTGCCTCTTGGGGCTGAGAACATCCAAGCGTACCAATTTAGACCCTGAAATTACCGTGCTCCACAGGCAGGAAACATGGTCACAAAGAGGCCCAAAGGAGGCAGGTCTGTGACTCCACTCTGATACTCATGATGTGCGCAGCTGGGAAGGGCTGTGAGAGGCAAAGCATCTGCCAATGCACAGTCCTCAGCCAAAGCCCTGGGCCCCTGCCACTGGAACTGACTCTTCTACAGGAAGCAGTCCCATGACTGGGCTTCCCCTCACCTTGCAGTGGAGAAGCGCTCCCATCCAAGGGGCCAATGCAGTCATTCTCACAGAAAATCATTTTGGTTTTGTTTTGGAGACATAGTCTTGCTCTGTCACCCAGGCTAGAATGTAGTGGCACAATCTCGGCTCACCACAACCTCTGCCTCCCACGACCAAGCACCTCTGTGCCTCAGCCTCCTGAGCAGCTGGGATTAAAGGGGTACACCACCACGCCCAGCTAATTTTTTGTATTCTTGGTAGAAAGAAGGTTTCACCACTTGGCTGGGCTGGTCTCGAACTCCTGACCTCAAATGATCTGCCTGCCTTGGCCTCCTAAAGTGCTGGGATTACAGGCGTAACCACTATGCCCGGCCTTCACAGAGAATCTTGAGGCAGCTTTCAGCCTGGCCAACACGGCAAAACCCCGTCTCTACTATAAATATAAAAATTAGCCAGTCATGGTGGCACGTGTCTGTAACACCAGCTCCTCAGGAGGCTGAGCCATGAGAAGTGCTTGAACCCAGGAGATGGAGGTTGCAGTGGGCCGAGATTGCACCACTACACTCCAGCCTGGTCCACAGAGCAAGACCCCGTCTCAAAACAAACAAAGAAAAGAAAACAAAGAAAAAAACACAAAGCACGGAGCCGCTGCTTTCATCCCTAACTTGAGATGTATTTTATGTAAGGGCATATGATCCTCTAGTCCTAGACCGAGCTCTCTAACATCACTCTCCCCCCAGACCTCCGAATCCTATCCCCCCAGAGGAGCAGCCACCCTTCCAGGTACACAGAGCTAAGGTCACTGGGCAGGCCACTGCCAAAAATGAGACTGACTCCCTGAAACAGCTCTTGAACACAGGAGGTGGATGGATGCAGATTCAGGAGGGATATTAATGCACCAAGCAAACAGGGAGTGCAGGCTGGGAGGTAGGCATGGGGCTGGGTGTGAGGTACTCAGTAGTGACTCAAATCTAAGTCCACAGGTCCTAGGCAGTGGGAGTGGAAACGTGTGCACAGAGAAATGGTGCAAGTGCTAGGCAAGGTGGCTCACGCCTAGAATCCCAGCATTTCAGGAGGCTTACTAGAGACCAGGAGTTCGAGACCAGCCTGGGCAAGATAGCAAAACCCTGTTTCTGCAACAAATGCATAAATTAGGGCAGGGCATGGTGGCTCATGACTTTAATTCCAGTACTTTGGGAGGCTGAGGCAGGTGGATCACGAGGTCAAGAGTTTGAGACCAGAATGGCCAACATGGTGAAACCCCGTCTCTACAAAAAATACCCAAAAAACCCTAGCTGGGCCTGGTAGTGCCCGCCTGTAATCCTAGCTACTCAGGGGGCTGAGGCAAGAGAATTGCTTGAACCCAGGAGGTAGAGGTTGCAGTGAGTTGAGATCGCACCACTGTTCTCCAACCCAGGCGACAGAGCAAGAGACTTCATCTCACGGAAAAAAATAAATAAATAAACTTAGCCTGACACGGCTGCACACAACTGTGGTCCCTGCTATTAGGGAAGCTGAAGGGGGAGGATCACTCAAGCCCAGGAGGTTGAGGTGGCAAGGAGTCATGATTGCACCACTGTACTCCATCCTGGGCAACAGAGCAAGACCCTGACTCTGAAAAATAAACAATGAAAGAAATGTTGCAAATGGAAATGACAAGTGGTGGCAGGAATTGGGCGCTGAGTGACAGTAAACGTAACTTGGACTGGAGAGTCAGGGACAGCCTCTTAGTAGAAACGGCTTTTACGCCAGGTTGAGTTAACCAGGAGAGATGAAAGGAAGAAAAACCTAACAGAGGGACGAACCCGTGGTCAGAGCTCCCGGCACCCACCCGAATCCTCCACAGAACAGACTATTTTTTTTGGAGAGACAAGAGTCTCACTCTGTAGCCCAGGCTGGAGTACAGTGGCACAGTCTCAGCTCACTGCAACCTCCACCTCCTGGTTTCAAGCGATTCTCCTGCTTCAGCCTCCCGAGTAGCTAGGATGACAGGTTCATAGCAGCACACCTGTCTTATTTTTGTATTTTTAGCAGAAATGGGGTTTCACTATCTGTTGGGCAGGCTGGTCTTGAACGCCTGACCTCAGGTGATCCACCCGTCTTGGCCTCCCAAAGTGCTTGGATTACAGGCATGAGCCACCATGTCTAGCCTAGACTGTTGTTGAAGCCTCTTTTCCTCTTCTCTTTCCTAGGTTCATTTCTTCTTTTACAGCCTCCCCCCATCATTGTTCTACCCATTCAAAGGCTGTGGCTGGCACAGGATGGAACAGAACCCACTAGCCTCAAGTTCCAAACCCACATTCTCCAATAACCCAGCTCTCAGATGGGAAGCTTCAAAGCCTTGTGACAGCCTGGCTAAACCACTTCAGCCTGGGTGGCTCCCTTCAATTCCTGCCCCGGGAAAACAGGCATCTCCTCTGGCCTCCTCCCAAAGAAGCCTGTCAGTCACCTGCTCCTGGAAGCCTGTGCTCTCCACCTTTGCAACAAAGGGCCGGCCTGTCCACCCATTCCTGCTGAGCACACCACTGTACCCCCAGCTCTGAACTGTCCTTTGCACAGGGTGGGACAACTTCTCACAGCCTTCTGCCTACTGCAGACTTGGCTCAGCCCAAAGCACTCCATGAAACTGGGGTGTGGCGTCTGCCTCAAGGAGCATTTCCAAAACCTCTACTGCCTCTGCTGCAAGTGAAAAATCTACCTCTGAATGCTGAGTTAGAACTGCATGATTGTAAGGAAGAAAAGGGGGCCAGGCACGGTCACTCATACCTGTAATCCTGGCACTTTGGGAGGCTGAGGCAGGGAGATCACATAAGGCCAGGAGTTCAAGGCCAGCCTCGCTAACATGCTGAAACCCCATCTCTGCTAAAAATACAAAAATTAGCCAAGCACAGTGGTTTACACCTGTAATCCCAGCACTTTGGGAGGCTGAGGCAGGCAGATCACCTGAGATCAGGAGTCCAAGACCAGCCTGGCCAACGTGGCAAAACACTATCTCTACTAAAAAATGCAAAAGTTAGCTGGCTGTGGTGGCACATGTCTGTAATCTCAGCTACTCAGGAAGCTGAAGCTGGTGACTCGCTTGAACCTGGGAAGCGGAGGTTGCAGTGAGCCGAGATCATGCTACTGCACTCCAGCCTGGGCATCAGAGTGAGACTCCATCTCAAAAAAAAGCAACAATTAGCTGGGCATGGTGGCACACATCTATAATCACAGCTCCTTGGGAGGCTGAGACAGGAGGATCACCTGCCTGGGAGGTCGAGGTTGCATTGAGCCGAGATCACACCACTGCACTGCAGCCTGGGCAACCAGACTGAGACCCCATTTTGAAAAAAAGGGCCAGGTGCAGTGGCTCATGTGTGCCTGTAATTCCAGCTACTCAGAAGGCTGAGGCAGGAGAATCACTTGAACCCAGGAGGCAGAGGTTGTAGTGCACTGAAATCGTGCCACCACACTCCAGCCTGGACAACACAGCGAGACTCCGTCTCAAAAAAAAACTAAAAAAGAAAGGAAAATAAAACCACAATTTGGGTGGGTAGACATTTGATCCCCTGAACTGTCCAGGTATGGAGGGCCCTCCCATTGGGTTGGGACGGGAGGCTGGTCTCAAACTACACACGCCCATCCCAGCCTGCCATCTGCCAGCGTCTCCTTCCCAATCTAGCCCAGGGCAGGCAGGGGGCACTCACTTGAAGTACTAGCCAGCAGATTCCAAGTAGGATGCAGACTCAGCCACAGGCCACATCACGATGGCGGGGTGGTTCTTGTCCCTGCGCACCAGTTCCTCCATCACCCGCATGTGTTCATGCAGAGACACGTTGTTGAAAAGCTGCTTGCAGGCCAGGAGGGAAGGGTCAGAGGGTCACGGTGTGGCCCGTGGGCTGCACAGGCAGAGCAGGTGCACAGTGGAAACTCACGGCAGCACCAGGCCCACGGCAGGACAGTCATCGATGACCACAGTCCCATAACAGTAGCACATCGGCAGCACTTCTTCCACGTAGGGGTAGTAGCTGGTGCAGAAGGAGTTGACACCAAGGAAGCAAAGCAGGTTGAAGTCCTTCACCAGCAGCAGCCCATCGAAGCCCTTCCCTCAGATCTAGGAGACAGCAGAGCCATGTGACCCATTCCCTGTCAAAGTTGCACTTCCTCCAAGAACTAGGACACTGGAGAGCCACCCCACGAGCCCCCTCTCCAGCCCAAGCACCAGCTCCACCACAAGGCAGTTTGGAGCCATTTGCCTCATTGCCCTCAACTGTGGGACACAGGGAAGGCGAAAGTGAAAGGTGACCAGAAGCAGACCCCATGAGGACCTAGGAGTGCCAATGTACATCTGCATCCTCGTGTTTGTTGAAGCCGTGAAAATACAAAGGTTTCCCATTGATGAGGAACTGGCTCTCAGTGACAGCCACAGTGCAGATCCCCACTAGGAATGTGTAGAAGTCAGACACAGGCCCCAGTGACGTCTGTGCACTGAGCTGCACCTACAACAGCCAAAGCACCAGGAGTGAGCACCCTGACAGCCTGACCCTTATCTGGCCTGCCCTCTGGTAGGAAGGCCCCTTGTGCACCCAGCAGACACCTCGGTTCCTGCCTGCCTGCGCTCCGGCAGCCTCGACAGGCTCAGCTCCTCCAGCACCATGGCCTGTTTTGGCCCAACTAATGCTCTCGCAGCCCACCCAGAGGTGTGAGCTCCTGCCTCACACTGGCCTCACTGGGCCGAGGTTCACCCTCACGCTGGCCCATTGGGGCCCAGCTCATGCCTCTCATGGCCTCTCCAGGCCCAGCCCCTACCTGTGGGTGGCCTTTCCAAGCCCAGCCTCTAGCTCACAGTGGGCCCTCACCGGTCCTGCCTCTTGCCTCGCTGTTTCCCCCTCAGGCCAAGCTGCTGCCTTTTGGTGGCCTCTGCAGGCCCAGCTCCTGCCTCCTAGTGGCCTCCGTAGGCCAAGCTCATGCCTCGATGGCAGCCTTTCCAGGCCTAGCGTTTCCTGCTTTGCATCCTCTCCAGGCCCAGCATTTCCTCCAGTCGGCCTCTCCGGGCCCAAGTTGAGGTCAATACAGCCACTCCAGGGCCAGCTCCTGCCTCATGGCAGCCTCTGCATGGGAAGAGGTATAAGCATGTTTTGGGCTGTCCTTTGGGTGCATATGTGCAGTAGCTGTACATGGTGGTTCACACATCACGTGTCTCAGTGCCCTGATTGGCACATCTCAAGGACATGTTCGCTTCCTTGACTGCCTACCCTGCCTTAAGGTGTAGCTCACTGCAGTCCTGAACTCCTGGCTCAAGCAGTCCTCCCATTTCAGCCTTCCAAGTAGCTGGGGCTGCAGGGGATGCAGGCACGCACCACCACGCTTGGCTAATTTTTGGTATTTTTAGGGAAGAAGTGGTTTCCCTATGTTACCCAGGCTGGTCTTGAACTCCTGGGCTCAAGCGATCTTTCCACCTCAGCCTCCCCAAGTGTTGGGATTACAGGCGTGACCACTGTGCCTGGTCAAAAATATCTTTTTTTTAAGTTGAAGAAAGTGCTGGACACAGTCACTCATGCCTGTAATCCCAGCATTTTGGGAGGCCGAGTTGTGTGGATCACCTGAGGAGTAGGTGCGATTTCTACAATTGGTTTGGTGGAAATCAAATCCAAGTACGACTACAGCCAATGGCGAGGGGACCAGGCCTTTCGCGATGGTGAGTGATCCCAAAAGTTAAAAATACCAAATGCATGACAGTGCTCCTGTGACTGGTTAATAGGGTGATAGTCACTAGTCCATCGAGGTGTCTTATTTAAGGCGAACGTGTGGGCAATCTTAGTTTTATGACCCCGAGGTAAGAACCAAATGCCAGGTATAGTTGAAGTATAGTCACCTCCAAGTATTACGGGCCTGGAGTGAGGAGGGTTACATGCCCAAGTGGGATGATGATTTCTCAGAGGTTGGTAGACTAAGAGATCAAAATTTGGTAGGAGATATCCATGCTGGCAAGGGTGGTTTTGACTGAAATGTGCTATGTCCAATGAACAAATGATTGTACTATGTAATATTAAGAACTTTGAGTACTGGTCGATATTCATATGGAACTAGTTCTATATGTAAGTATAGTATTATATATGATAGTTAAGAAATTGCTAATAATTGCTTATATGCATGTGGAGCAAGCTTATAATGTCATAAAATCTCTGAATGTACTGTGTACAATCAAGCATTGATAGTACTATATATTATTCATGGGGACTAGCAGTAATGCATGAAGTACATAAAAGTATTAATGTATCAGTGCTGATGGTCAGTACTTACATAGTAGTTAAAATGCATGTCGAAAAGAATACAGAGAATAGTTTAATTAGAATCTCAGCTTTGGGTGTTGATGGTGAAGCGGGAATGCTTTTTCTCTGAGTTTCCCTGGGGGACTCTCCATTTCTGGTTTACAAGACTGGCGTATTGGATTATACTATAAGGGCAGTTTCATTTAAGTAGTTTATCCTTGATTAGGGCAGTGAGTGGTACGAGAACAAGATTAATAGAGAAACATATCATAGATGCCATCTGTCCAATGGTAATGAAAGGATGTTCTTGGCTGTCCTCCAATCCATATGAGGGTGAATAGGTTGGTGAGTAAGATTCAGAACAGATATTGCCTTAATGGGCGGAATATTATGCTTTGTTGTTTGGATGTGTGGAGTGCAGGAACAACTGCTAGAAGGAGAATGGATAATAGAAGGGCCAGTACACCTCCTAGTTTATTGGGGATGGATCATAAGATTGCATATGCAAATAAAAAGAAGTATCACTATGGTTTTATGTGGGGCGGGGTATTTAGGGGTTGACTAAGGTGTAATTATCTGGGTTGCTCAGGAGGTCAGGCAGAAACAGTACTAGAATTATTAAAAGGAGGAGGAGAAAAACCTAGAATATCTTTGATTGTATAGTAAGGGTGGACAGTGATTTTGTCAGAATGTGGTGAAATTCCTGAAGGGTTATTAGACCCTGTTTCATGTAGGAGAAAAAGGTGGAGAAGTGTTAGGGCTATCATGACAAAAGGTAAGATGAAGTGGAAGGTGAAGAATCGTGTAAGAGTGACTTTGTCAACTGAAAATCCACCTCCAATTCATTGGACAGGGTCAGTTCCAATATATGGGATGGCTGATAGTAGGTTTGTGATTACCGTAGTGCCTCAGAATGATATTTGGCCTCATGGAAGCACATAGCCTATAAATGCTGTTGCTGTGGTTGTGAGTAGGAGGAGAATGCCAGTGTTTCAGGTTCCTAAAGCATATGAATGACCCATAATATAAGCCTCGACCTACATGTAGGAAGAGGCAGATGAAGAATGTTGAAGAGCCGTTAGTGTGAAAATCGTGGACTTTTCAGCCATAGTCCACATCTCGGTTAATATGGGCAACAGAAGAGAAAGCAGTTGGGGTATCTGGTGGGTAGTGTATGGCCAGAAATAACACTGTGATGATCTGGAGGATTAAGCAGGTACTGAGAAGTGAGCCAAAGTTTCAACATACAGAGATATTAGATGGTGTGGGGAGATCAATGGATGTGTAATTAATGATTTTATTAGTGGGTTTATTTTACATATAATGGTCATTAGTGTTCTTAGAGTTGAAGTACAATGATGGTTTTGTAGTTGAAGTATGATGGGGTGGTCATCATAGTTAATTTTATTAGTGTGGGAAGTTGAATAATTTTTGAGGGTGAGGGGCCAGGTTTGATACTTTAGGATTCTGCAGGTGTGGGTGCTTTCTATAATTATGGGTGTTCGTTGGTGGTAGTTGCTGGTTGAACATTGTTGGTATTTATGTTGCAGTTGAAATTACTTGGAGTGATAGATTAGATAATTAAGAGTAAAGTTAAAAAGGATGGAATAAAAAAGAAGAAATAAAATTTAATTAGACCTTTTTGAGTAGTTATGGTAATGGAGGCTGTGATTTGGGTCTGTGAAATTGTCTTTGGTATGGACTTTTCTAGTCAAATTAGATCTAGCAGAAGTGATGGCAGGTTTTGGCTTATAGATAGGTTTGAGTGAGGGGTTGTACGGTGAATTGTGATTGAGTAGAATCCTAATATATTGGAGAAGTTGAATGTTTGTAATGGATATTTTATCTTAAGATTATTAGTTATAAAACTAAGTTCCATTGCAACTAGGATGGTTGCAGCTCGGCCTGTACGTTTTAGGGGGGTGGTATTGTTGTTTTGGGGGGATGAAGTAGGGATAATGCTATTGGTGATGAGAAACCCAGCGAAGATAATGCCGACTATAAGGCATTTAATTGGGTTTATTAGGGAAGGGTTATTTTTGTCAATGCTGATTAGGGTTGGGAAGTGGGGTTGTCCCATTAGAGTGAAGAAAATAATTTGGATATTATAGACACTTGTTAGGGAGGTGGCAATAAGAGTAATAGAGAGGGCTCAGGCATTGGTATGTGATGTGTTTGCAGTTTTGATAATGAGATCTTTAGAGAAAAAGCCTGTGAGGAAAGGCATACCCATGAGTGCTAGGCTGCCAACACTAAAGGGAATAGGAAGTAAGGGGTAAAGTCTTAAATAGTCCTCCTGTTTTTCGGATATCTTGTTCATCATTGAGGTTATGGATGATGGATCCTGAACATATAAATAATATAGCTTTAAAAAAGGCATGGGTGCAGATGTGTAGGAATGCTAGGTGTGGTTGTTTCATGCCAATTGTGACTATTATAAGGCCTAGTTGCCTTGAGGTGGAGAATGCTACAATTTTGTTGATCACATTTTGTGTTAGAGCACAAATTGCTGGAAATAAGGTGGTAGTATCCCCTAAATACACTGTAAGGGTTTGGATTAATATATTATTTTCTATTAAGGGGTGGAATGGATAAGCAGGAAAATTCCTGCTACAACTATAGCACTAGAGTGGAGTAGGGCTGAGACTGGGGTTGGGCCTTCCATGGTGGAAGGAAGTCGGGGTAGAGGCCAAATTGAGCTGACTTTCCCACTGCTGCTAAGAGAAGGCCAATTAATGGAAGAAGATCGGGGGTAGGATTTAGGATAAATGCTCGTTGAGGTTCTCATGTATTGGAGAATGAGAGGAATCATGCTATAACTAAAATAGCGGTTTTAGTTATAGCGGTTATACAGAATCACTTGGAGGGCTGCTGTATTAGCATCTGCTCGGCTAGTCATCAACCAGTTAGTAAAACAGACATAATTCCTATGCCTTCTCATCCGATAAAAAGTTGAAAAAGGTTGTTGTTGGTAACAAGAATTAATATTGTGGTGAGGAAAATAAATATTTGAAAAATTGATTAATGTTAGGATCTTATTTTATATATCAAGAATTGTATAACAGATCAGGTGACAAATAGTGCTACTGGGATAAATTTTATGGAGAAGTAGTCTAGTTTGAAGTTTAGTGAGAGTTTAAGGGTTTGGACTATTATTCAATATCAGTTTGAGATGATGGCTTCTTGGTCTATATACATAAATGTGAGAATGAGGCTAACGGTGAAGG